GTCACTCGAGTTTGAATTTCTAGGTGAATTTAATGTGAACATCTCTGTGCATATCAGGTCATTTTATTAACTTCATAATTTATATGTAATTTTTTTTATTGTTTGTATTTCTCTTTTTTTATTAAAACATGCTAATATATCTGGTAATAAATGTGATCATCATTATTATGCAATTGTGTCAAGTTCCATTAGCCGCCTGTAATCCGCTTACCTTTCCTAGAAGAAAAAGAAGACACGTTAAGCGTGGATGCGCAAAATGTCGAAAGTGGAATCTCCAACGAAATTAGGCACCGGCGAGCACGCCGACGTTGGCGAAGGTGATGCGGCGACAGAAAGAAAGGAGATGCTTCCACGCCACGACTTTGGCAAACGTTGGCACCGTTTCCGCGTCCTAACGCCGCGATCGTTCATAATCCGCGGTTCCCGTGCCATGAGCGATCTCCGATTCAAATACAGAAGTCGTGGCCGTCAGGCGGCCCCGTGCTCGGTGCTGGCGGTCGTTTACGGTCGGATGTTTCAGCCGAAGGAGTGGACGCAGGAGCATGTCGACCAGGTGCTTGACTACGGCGACAAGCTGTTCCGCTTGAGCATGGTGAAGAACCCGCTGAAGGACCACGAGTATATGAGGACCGACCTCGTGCACGACGAATTCTACGTGAGCGTCTACAAGGTCCTGATCTGCGTCGAGGACAACGGCATCCGCGGCAACCTCTTCAGCGAGTCCGTCGGCTGCTCCGACCTCGCGGACGGCTTGCGGAAGTTCCTGCGGGACGACGACGACGTCGGAGGGGTGATCACGGCGCAGGGCCACTCCGTGGCTGTGTGGCGCCAATCCGCCCGGGCTGAGTTCTTCTACTACGACCCGGCGTCGTGCGATGAGACAGGTGTACGTCGTCCTGGTGGCACCGCTTGCCTCATGAGGTTCAAGTGCCTCGACGACATGCGCGATCACATGCTGAAGAGCGTGAATCCCCGTTACGACTCCCGATATTGCATCGACCGGGTCACCGTGTTGCGCGTCGTGGAGGTCGGTCGACCGTTGGTCGACCCCGCGACCAGAGTCGTCGTTGGTCCTGTAGTGCAGAAAAGCGTGCTGCGAGCCATCAACCCGGTAGACACCGATGAGCACAAGCTGGACTGTACCAAGCCGGTGCCGAAGAACGAAGGGCTGCGCATATCAGCTCGAATACGCAAGGAGCCGTTGTCCATCACCATCTCCAACTATAGTATCGACCGACGGTTCGCCACGGAGCCGTTGGTGAACCGGGACGACTTCGACACCGGTTACTCCTACGACGCCATGCGGATGAACGTGCCGTCCACGTTCAAGGAGCTGCCTGGAAAAGCGGCGATTCTTCGTGGGTTCACTCACGAGGCTAGCGACGTGTACAAGGCCAAGGGCGCGCAGAATGCGGCGAACTGCGTCATGGCCATCGTCATGAAGGAGGTGCACCCGGTGAAGACGTGGTTGAGATCCAGGTTGGACGAGATCCTCGCGTTGGGCGATTCGGTGTACGCTAGCGTGAAGGCCGAGAAGCCGATGATAAAGACGATGACTGCCGTCGATTTGGACGACGTCAAGGTCAAGGTGGAGAACCGTAAGCTGGCAGTGGACGTGGATCTGATCTCTGTGACCGGTACGGTAAGTTCGAAGGCGCCGTCGGTGTTGAACTTGAAGCGAGCGTTGGACGAGTTCTTCATGCTGTACGACGACGGAGTGCTCGAGACGAGCTTCGTGGCGGTGGCGGTCTGGAGCCAGAATGATTGTTACTACATGTTTGACCCTCGCTCTTGCGACGCCATGGGTGTGAGGCTCAGGGAGGAGAAGGCTGCCAAGGCGGACAAGGGGAAAAGGGAAGACACTGAGAGGAAGCAGCAAGGAAGCTGCTGTGTGACGCGATTCCCGGACGTGGACTCGTTGGTCGCGCTGTTCCTGAAGAATGTCGATCCGGCTAAGAAGAACGACAGGTTCACCGTCAGGCACGTCACAGTGATGGACGACAAGCCTGGCAGTCGCGCCTGGAACGAATTCCAGCCCGGTGTGCCGGGTAAGACTTGGGTATTGCGCGGCAGCATCTCCAACATGGACGAGTTGTTTGAGGAAGAGAATCAAGGAGCACAGGGCCTGCCCATGTCGGTGGTGGCTTTGGTGAATGCGAGGGAAATTCCTGCGGCGAAATGGAGCAGCGAGATCGTCGACGAGACGCTGCGAGAAGGCGACGCTTACTATAGCTGGTGCAAACCTCCCGTGACGGAGGAGGAGGTAGAGGAGCCAAAGACGCTTCTCCTTGAGAACCTGAAGAGGCACTTCTACCTGAAGAATCGCAAGGTGAAGATCGACGTCGAAGAGGCAGCGATCGTGGGAGACTTGTTGGCTCCGGACGACTCCGAGGTGCCTAATTTGAAGACAGGACTGCGTCGGTTTTTCGACAATAAGCAATACGGGATAGTCGAGACGAGGGATCTCGCAGTGGCCGTGTGGAAGGCTGAGGAAGAGCTCAAGATGAAGGAGAACGACAAGGACAAGGAGACGTTCTATTATTACTTCGACCCGAATCCTCGACATGCTCAGGGTCAGGTGGCGGAGGGAGACGAAGAGAGCACCGCCTACGTGGTGCGCACATTGGATGTTGCAGCGTTGGCGGAGCAGATCCAGAAGAACGTTGAGCGAGAAAAGGAGAACGACTTTATGATACACGAGCTAAAGAGCGTCTCCGTCGGTGCACCGATGACGGACGAGGAAGTTGAGGCGGATAGGAAAGTTCTAGTCAAGCCGGATCTGAACAACTACTCCGCCATAGGCGAAACTGGCGCTGTGCTTTTGGGCAGCATCAACCAGGGCAACGAAACGCTCTTCAAACGGCAGACGAGGGGCAAGCAGCAAGCCGCAAACTCTCTCACGACTCTCGCCATGACGAGACTCTACAATCCTCATCTGTGGCACCGTGAACTCGTGGACGATATCCTGAAGATCGGCAACAGGCTTACCAACGACAACCTGATGAATCTGCCGGAGCCGGAGACTGAAGACGAAGTGCCCAGGGACTACCTTCTCCCATCGGAGATCATGGAGGACTTTGACATAGGAGTCAACCGGATATCGGTCGGTCTCGAGGAGGAGGTCGTCAGCGAACCGGTGATGGAGATGGCGAGCTTGCTGGAGCAGTTTTTCAAGGAGAACACGATGGGAGTTCTGCGTCAGGACGAGACGATGATGCCGATTTGGAGGGAAGGAGAGGTGTTCTTCACGATGGACCCCAAGGGCAGGGACGCTCATGGCGAACCCGTTGAAAAGAACGGAGCTGCGGCGGTGATGTGGTACACCGACGTGCCGTCCTTGGCCAGGGCGATCCAGGCGGTCGCACGTGGTGGCGACTTCGTCATCGACGCCGTCACGGTGGAGAACGCGTACGAGACGCGGGCGGCCGAGGCTCGGCAAGCGAAGAGGACCACGCCCGGCGAGGACCTGTGGCATCACTTCCCCAAGCTTGCTGACGGCGTCTGGAGCATCGACGGGAAAATCACCATGACGGACGAGAGGTTCGACGAGGTGAATCGCGGCGAGCAAAGCGCGGCCATCGCCGCGATGGCCGTCATCTTCTCCAAGGTTCGTCAAATATATATAAGTTATCTCAATATATAAGTCAAATGTATAAGATACCTGTAATATATAAGTTTATATAAATATCATTGCAAGTTTATCATGTAGCATCAAATTTACTCAAAATACATTTTGAATTCTATTTATTCTATTTGATACTTAATTCAATCAAGGATATCAAATCAAAGAAGAAAGCATTAACATTGAATTCGATTCCAGGTGTATCAACCGAAATATTGGACGTCAGATATCGTCGACGAGGTCGTGATCACGGGTGACAAGCTCCACTCAAAGTGCGTGGAAAGGCTGGGTGTGGGTTCGGTGCCTCTGGTGAACGAAATCATCAGCGAGTTCTTCCTGTCAACACGGCGCATCGCTTTGACAATCAAGGATTGTGCGCAGGCGGGTATTCTCACCGGCAGCACGCCCAAGGTCCAAGACCTGCGAAGCGGCATCGACAGCTTCTTCCAGAAGCACGACGCTGGTGCGTTGACCGTGCGAGGAGAACGAAATATAGCCATATGGAAGGTCGACGACGCGTATTACGTCTTGGTGCCTGACTGGCCCATCACCGTGGAAGAGACCACATCGAGGGCACCGCGGCTGTTCAGGTTCAGGAATGCGAGTCTCCTCGTGGAATACCTGCTGAGTGATCTCGGCGAGGAAGGCGACTACCAGATCAGCGCGATCGACGTATTGGACTGGAGCAAACTGCCACCGTGGAAATTCGACCCTAGCCCGGGGATTCGACCGACAAACTTGCCGCCCATGAACGGCTACAGAAGATTGCAAGGTGAAGCCCGCGCGATCCTGCGCGGCAGTTATCATCAGGGCGACGACGTGTTCCCCGAGGCTCTACGTAACCGGCAAACAGCGGCGAATTGCGTCGTGGCGCTTGGCATGTCGGTCATCAAAAGTCCCGTCACGTGGACGAAGAAAACTCTGGACGAGATCCTGGCGATTGGCAGTGGCGTTCATCTGGAGACGAAGAAGACCAGACCCTTCAAGTCGAGGCTCAAGCCGAAGGATATCATCAGGATATTCTACGTGGGTAGGTCTCTCTTTCTTCCGTCGTCGTTTTCTGTTTCATCCGAATGAATGAATTATATGAATGCTATTCACAAGGTGTTAACGTTCTAACCGCTGACGTGGAGCCTAACATTGTGAGCGGCCAAGTGGCGATCGCCCCTGTCGTTCTCGAGGAGACGAAGAAAATAGTAAAGAAGAAGAAAGAAAAGATACAGCCGAAGGGAGGGAGAGCCGGCAAAGACAAGGAAGCGAGACGAGAGCTAGCGCCAGCTCTGCCTGTGATCTTGCTTGAAGAAGGCCTGCGGAAATTCTTTCAGAGTAACCGCGCCGGCATTCTGGTGACCGATCGCGGTATGACCTCCATCTGGAAAGATCTGGGCGTCTACTTTATGTACGACCCACGAGCACGAAGCGACGAGGGCCTGCCGGACGCTGACGGCACCTCGTGCATCATGTGGTTTGCCTGCATGGAACCCTTGTACGACGTTATCTTCGCCAACATCAGTCAGGAAGAGAAATACGGACCTTTCGAGATCTGTCGGGTGATCGTAAAGACCGTCATGATCGAACCCTTGCCGTGCCCAGCCGGCTTCCAAACCTGCTTCGATCGCACCTCGTCATCCATCATGCCGATCATCTCTGTCAAAGAGACACCTGCACTGAACGTGCGACCGCTCAGCGAGTACATCTTTGTGGACGAAGAGCTGAGCATTTTACGCGGTACTCTGCACATGAATCATCACGTCTACAGCCCGGAAAACCGAGGTTTGCAGAGCACAGCGATCGCGACAGTCGCAATAGTCGTAGGGCTGCTGCACGTGCCGTCCACGTGGACGGCCAAGTTGGTCGACTCTGTGCTCAAATACGGCGACTTGCTGCACTCGGACAGCGTCCGGCTGGCGCGTCCAGGCGCCAGGAACCTCTCGCCCAGCGAGCTGCTCACCGTCTTCATCGTGGGCGATTTCCGCGTCACCGTCCACGTGCACAATTATACCGCGGCGGGCGTACTCCACGTCTTCGACCTGTCCGAGGCGCTGGGCATGTTCTTCCGCACCAACTGCGCCGGAATACTGCACACGACCGACATAGCGGTGGCTGTGATGCAACACTACGGCAAGTTCTATATGTTCGACCCGAGCCCGAGGAGCGACCGGGGCAGACCCTCACTCGTCAACGGCGCGGCCTGCGTGATGAGGTGCGACAGTATCGCGAGGATGACCGAGCTCTTCGTGTCGAATTGCAATCTCAGAAGGCCGAACGTGTACACTCTAAACGCGCTCAACGTGCTGAGCCTGCAGTTCTTTTCGGGCGCGAGGACCATTTGCCTGTCCAAGTGTGAACAGTGACGTCTCCTCAAGGAGGTTCACATTATGCTGTAACATTCCCTATAACTCGACTGCAGAGTACGTGGAATAAACCAACACCTCAATCAGCAGACAATATTTTTTTAACGTTTTTCAAATATTTATTTTATATTTTTTTATATGTTTTCTATTCATTATACAAATATATTTATTTAACGTTTATTTAATGTATATTTTACATTGATTCTTCATTTAAGATGGTGTTTAAAAAAAATATTTTTTAACGTTTATTTAATATTTAGTTAATATTTATTTTACTCGTTTAAAATTATTTTTAACGTTTTAAAAATGTTTCTTAAATATTTTTTTCTGATTGGGATTAAATGAATATTCGTTTAATGCTTATATGATTAGTTAAATTAATTAGAATTGCTCATTTTCGGAGAACTTCTGAACCAGTGCAGTAAATGTTGGAATGAAACAAGTTAATTTTCTTTAGCTCTAATTGTTGTTCCAATGTTCTTCGAAAACGAGCAGACCTATTGATATTTACATGATTTAGTGTTAAAATAAAAAAGAACGGTTTCTCGACTATGCTGTGCACTTTGCACGCTTTCAATGTCGCGCATTTTTCCTCTGTATTCTAGATTATTCGAGGGTCAATCAAATGCGCGTTATAACGATATGTGCGATATTTGGATATAAAGCGCTTACTTTGAAACGCTTCTATCACTCCCGTATTTTTCTTGAAAAATATTATTTATTGATCTTAGAGCATAGGAGGGGACTCGGAATATTTTATAAACCCATTTCCAATCGATCGCAGTTATCGCTTTAAGCAAATATCTTTATATCTGAAAGTGTACTTTGGGTAAGAATAGTGTACGCATTTTCTTGCTTTGACGTCAGTAGTCAAAATGGCCGCGGCGGGCAACGGCACTTTCTTGCTTTGACGTCAGTAGTCAAAATGGCCGCGGCGGGCAACGGCGTTTTCAAACGTAAGTGAGAAAAAATTGTTGATAAATTCGAGGTAAGACCTGCGGAGCGACTTAAGAGTATCCATTGTTTAATCTCGACTATAGAGTTTATTCACGCGTCATTGATTCGCCAATAACAAATCTTGCCGATTGATTCGGCAGTCTCGTAGGTCGCGATCGAGGCGACCGTCGACATCGCGAGCGACGAACAGCGAAAGACGAACGCGGGAACGCGACGGCGCCGTTCTTTTCCGTTTCTTCCCGTCATCTCTCGAAATATTTAAGCGGTCTGTTATCGGTCTCGCGTTAGTTGACGTGTGTTTCTATTCGCGATTGCATCGAATTTACGCGAGTGTCAGTGCCAAGAGACTGTCTGAAACACTACGACGGGGCAACCAGAAGGGGGGATGCTGAATCAACAGGTCATGGCGGAGGGCGCTGAAAGGTGGGCAATGATACATCGCATAATTTCAGGTATGCTTTCGCAATTACTTATTCCGGTTTTCTGGTTTATACGAATGTTTGACGTTTCTTACGAACTTGACAAAACCGGAATAGACGAGTCGAAATTTAGTCGGGTATTTATAATCTGTTATTATCCGGCGAAAAATTGTAGTTTCATCTTTGATTATTCGTCAAGCTACATTTATTTGTGAGTCTAATAGTGCCTTCCAGGTCGTTGGTCTCATTCTGTTGATTGATTATTTGCCGTCTTTTTGCCATTTTTATTTATTGTCGTCGACGCACAAATTATAAATTTGAATATTTATTGACGCATTGAATTATTGAACATTTTGCCCTCTTTATTCTTATTTTTTCCTTTTTTGGAAGGAAAAAAAGTCGCAAAAGCAAAGTCTATCGAGATTTCCACCGCTAGATAAAAAAAGATAAAAAAAGAGATAACCGAAATATTGTGAGGAAATTTTTTTATATTAGCTGTAAACATTGAGAAAAAATTAAATGCAGATAGAACAGATTGAATTAATCGAATATAAGATATTTCCGGAACAATTCCCTTAAGCATGCAAAAAACTTTGGTCAAGCAATCATTTGTAACATCAACGCCACACAAAGTCTGCGCAATATTATATCTCAAGATTTTCTATCGGCCTTTGAAATTGAGCCTTTCAATTTGCGCGATTAGTGTAGAAGCAAATTCACTTCACACTACTTTTTGACTCTTTGAAAATGTCATAAACGTTTCGTCCACGACGAGGATGATGAGGAAGGGCGAAAGACACACGCGGCCGACAACGTTCTCAAAGTGCTAATTTTATTTATAGGTTTTTCTTTATGACACAAATTACTTGTAGCATCTACATGAGTAAGAGTACAGGCTATACGAGAATGAATTTAATACAGATCACTTATTAATGTAAATACATTGTTCCTCCTCAATTACACGCTATCAACTAGATACTTAGAAAACACTGTACAACGCAGCTGAGAACTGTCGATTGATACTTTACAATATAGTACAACCACTCCTTGAAGCGAGACACGAGCTCCGAATCCGACTTGTGGGGACCTTTCCATCTGGTCACTTAGTAAGGGGAAGAAGGGGGGGATACATATATCACACCCTCGCGCGACTCGCGGACTTGAGACGACACGCGTACGGGGCCCTCGATCAATCCTCCTCGCCTCGTGCGGACTATAGGCCATATCGAGCGAGTCTGCCCGCCGTTTGATCGCATTCTCCCGGAAGCACGCATTCTCTCGACACCAACATTTCTCGCGAGATGTCGAAAGCAACACTCCCAGTGTATCGTCGCAGGCACTCCGCCGCCGCCGCCGCCGCCGCCATCGCCGAATCCTTCGCGACGTGGTCTCGTTCCTAGCAAAGTGAACAGGGAGGTAGTGCGACGCGAGCAGGCTCAGAGGGTACCCTCGGCCATCCTCGAGAAGAAGAGAGAATCTTGGCCACCTTTTGAGCGCGTCAAGAATGCGTCAATCGACAATGGGACCGTTGCCTCCGCTCGCGTCACCCTCCTCGTACAGTGCAGTCATCGTTGCATATACGCACGCATACAATAATACATCGCACAACTTGGCGAGTCTTGTATTCTCGTCTAGTGGCTACGTTTGTCAGTACGACCCGCTGGTGAGATGGTGATGTCGCTGATCCGCCGCCGCCGCCGCCGTAGTCTCCTTTTCCCTCGTGTTCGTCCCGTGAGACGTCACTGGTCGTCCTTGCCCCGTACTTACTCGGCAGAGGTACTTCGCTTCCTCGATCGAACGCTTCCTAGAGTCTCTCGACGTTCCCTCATCATCCGCGATAGGTTCGCCCGAGTGCTTCGGACGACGAGTGAATCGCGTCCCCTTCCTCTGGAAGCTCGATTCGTTTCAGTGATATACAGAACATTCGATGAGCGAGATCGGGACGAGGTTTACGCTCAAGATTACCGTGAAGTAATTTCTTGGGAGGAAGCGCACGGAAGCGTCCTTGCAGATATCGATGGGTATGTTGTGCCTGACACCAAAGATCCAAGACTCACACCGGTGAGGAAGGAACGTTTTTTTCGTGCACTTCCTCGTTAGTATTATTTTTCAGTCTGCTCGACGAGTTCGATCGACAAACGAAGAAGGCGGGAAGGGGGGAGGGAGGGAGAGGGAGAACGATGGTTGAAGCGAGAAGTGTGAGAGGGATGAGGGCAAGTTCGCGTCGATAGGCCCTGCTTCACTGACTAACTGACTGAACAATCGTTCTTCAACGGATCGTAATGTAAAAACAACAAGTATTATCAGTAATATTGGCATGGTGTTGTTATGGCACGTTCAATTTGCTGCTACACTGAGCGACGCGTTTTCTCTTTCGCAACGGCTGTCGTGTTTCACTCGTTGTACAAACACCGTACGATATACCCGGTCGGGTGGAAAAATGAAAGAAAATGAAAAACACAGGAAAAACGCGAAAAGGAGAAGTCAAGAGGAGGGGGCTAGGGGGAAGGGAAACCATTTTCGTCGACATGAACGTTCGCGTACATACATTGGCGCGAAGTCTACCGTTTCGTGCTGCAGAAACGCGCGTGATTTTTGGCACACACACACACACACACACACATACACACGCACACACACTCTCTCTCTCTCTCTCTCTCTCTCTCGCGTTCAATCTCTCTTCATTGCACTTTCCCATGCGCCGCAACAAATGCTCCTTTAACATATTTATTTTATGTACAAAAAAGGAAGCTGCTTTTCTCTCGCCATAAACGAACGCACGTAGAGAACAACCGTAACAAAAGACCGGCTTAACGCGCTTCCTCTCATTTTCCGCCTGTAAAGTGGTAATGGGATTAGATTGCACCGAGAGGTGTCGCATAACAAAAGTCGGTCGCTATTAATACACATCGCAATTATGTGCCCGACCTGTTGGCCGACATATCGCGCACGTACGATGCGCGATCCAAGCTGCTTACAAAATGATGTTGCGAGGTCACACCCTCTGCGCGCTGGGGGAAAATTTTCGCGGCTGGTGCATGGAAAATATGTGGAACATGTGGAAGAGATGGAAAAGAGATCGGTAAAAGGTTGCTCGAAAAAGGTCGATTTAAAACTTACTTTGCAAGGCGAGTATAAAGGGATAATAAAAAAGAAAACTGATCTCAGTTTCACAGAGTGACGATTGCGAGCAGCTTGTTACCGCGCAAGTAACAATTCTTGGTACATTCGCAAACGAAACGTCTACAAGCTCGCACATTGGCATATCTATCATTTGCTCGACACATTCATCGCAATGTCAGAGAGGTACGTTTTCACATGTCGCTTGCTCGTTACACCATAAATCAATGCAAACACGTAAAATGAACACGTAAAATGAGAAGCGTAAAAGAAAAGCGCCGTGTGCCGCGCTTGATATCCGCGATAACAATATTCCTAACGACATTTCCACGCTCATAACGAAAATCTGCATTGTATATCCTATCATATCGAATTACCGAATGATACTAAAATCGATAAGAAGAAAACGAGTAGACGAATAAAGTAATAAAATACCGAAGGACACTCGGCCCCTTCAACGAAAGGTAATTGCAATTTTACCTTTCACACATTGCCGCGCCCATTGTAATAGTTAAAAATTACCTCTCTGCACGACCGCGGAGAGAAACATATTTCTCTGACACTTGCTGCACTCGACACACATACGAATTGCGAATCGGCATTAAATCCATAAATCAGACAAGCTCATTGTAACCGTACATCGCTACACACTCATCAGAGACTAAGAAAGAGATGCGGGAAGAAGATGGGGATAAGTCGAGGAAGTAATTTCAAGGTAGGTAATCGCGATGGAGGCAGGAGCGAACGTGTTGAAGGAAAATCGTGGTCCTCAGAGAAAGAAATAATTAAAAAAACACATGCTAATCGCGTGCGACTCAACGGAGCTCGCCCAGACCTTCGCGTGGAAGCTCTCGCGTGTTCGCGTCTCTCGACCCAAAGTCTTTTTCTTCTTTTTTCTTTTTACCTACCGCGTTTATTGTCTTCGTTCGGCCGAAAGAGCGAATTCATCGATAAACGACCGGTGTAAAATCACCTTTCGATTCGCCCGAAGGGCGAAGACATCGAATGGTGCCAAACCCGATCGCGACAGCAACGATTGACACGCGTTGGATCGTTTAATTAATGATTAAACAATTAATAATGAATAATTAAACCCTCGCGGTCGTAAGTCGGTCGCGTATTCTCAGTACGAGAATGCGATACGTAATCGTCCCACATGTTTAATAAAAAGCAAACAACGCATTATGTCCTTATCGAGAAAAAAAAATAAAAAATAAAAAAACGGTTCATTCTTCCATCGAAACATTACGATACAAACGGACCTGCCAATCGTGTCACGTCCAGTGATAGATAAAGTAGAATCCGTGGGACATAGTTGGGGCAGGATAAGGAAAAAGGGAAAATGCTGAAGTGGGCGGGGATTCGTTACTAAGGGAGGGGAATTACCTTACACGCTAATTAATCGCACTGTGTGTATAGACTTTTAAAAAAATAACAAATTACATACAGAAGATAGGTATTTTGACAGCGTGAGGTCGAACAAATCAATGACGATAAAAACGTATCGCGCGCGCGTGCCCCGCTAGCTGATTCGCTTCCGTCCTTTTGCGGCTCTCCTCCGCTGATTCTTTTTTTTTTACCTCTTAGCTACTTGTTCGCGATATAATTATTTCTAAAGTATAGTACCTGGCACAGGAACATGACCTCTCAGTCATTGGCATCACAACGTAACAAGGACTACAAGCTGCGTCACACGCATCTTCTCCGGCGAGTCTGCCCTCTCTCGCTCTCACTCACCATACACACAGATACACACACACACACTCTCTCTCTCTCTCTCTCTCTCTCTCTCTCTCTCTCTCTCTCTCTCTCTCTCTCTCTCTCAGTTGTACATCATAATCGCGAATGTATGCACCCTTCATCTCTCCGCATCTCCTCAGTTTCGTACGACGCATACATCCCTGTTCTCTCTCATTCTCACTCGCACACACTCTTTCTCTCTTTCGCGCGCGCTCTCGCTCATATCTCGCTCATATCTTTCTCTCCCTGCCGAGCGGATGACTACAGCCAGACACTTGGTCCTGAGTATTTCTGCATCAATATTTGTTTCTGTTCGTAACACGTTATATTAACGTTCCGCCTAGACTCGTTATCCCCGACTTTGGACACTGGATGATCCTTCTGCGTTCCGGCGAACGGACACGAGCAAGGCCTGGCTGCCGCGGCGCCAGGAGAGAACGGCCGTGTGTCCGTGCGAAGGTGGCCGCAACGACGTCCACGATAACGATCGTTCGTCGGCCATCTCTGTGGCGTGTTTATCCGAACCCGAACCCCATCACGGCGACACAGGACGCCATTACGCTATGGCTCCTCGTGTCGCGGTGAATAACAGCATCGCATCTCTCGGCGCATGACGACGCGTGACGTCGCCGCCACCGCGAACTCGTCCGCCACCGTGTACAGGCGATCATCATCCGAGCGGATCATTTCGAGTACTCCTCGTACTGTCTTGGGCCGTCCCGAAAGTACGATACATTCCTCGAAGCCCTACCTGGTCCCACTTCCTCGCTGGACCGAAACCAAGGTAAAAACGTTGGGAGCTCGGCGACAGGGAAGTCATCCTCGCTGATGAACCCTCGTTCCGGAGCGGTCCACCGCTCGCTCCCCCCGTTCGTCCTCGTCTTCATCTTCGTCGTCGTCGTCGTCGTCGTCATTGTTGTCATCGTCGTTGTCGGCGTTGTCCTCGTCGTCATCGTCATCGTCGACGTTGTTGTCGTCTCGGTCGAGCGCTTGTCGCCCGGCCTCCTCGTCGTGTGTATACGTAGATGGACCCCGTAGATGACTCCGCGTGTTGCAACAGTCCGGTCACGTGGGTCCGCCCAGGGCTACGTAACACTGATCGCCGGGTTGGAAGGGCCCGATGGCGCGGGCTCGCTCTTTATACACTGTCCGGTCAGCTGATTGACACTGAGCGGATTGTTGATGTCGTGCGGGTTCGTGCCGACGGGATTGCGATGGGGTGGTGGAGGTGGTTGCTGTTGTTGTTGCTGCTGTTGCTGCTGCTGCTGCTGCTGCTGCTGCTGCGCCACCGCCGTCGCAGTCGCCGTCGCTGTCGTGACCGCCGCCACCGCTGCCGCCGCTGTCGCCGCCACCACTGTCGTCGAGGTCGGCTGGTTGTGCGGCTGCTGGCTAGTGTTCGGTAGAGGCAGGGGTGGCACTGGCGGCGTCAACGGACACGGGCACGGACTGGCCATGCTCGAGGGCGATGGTAAGACCAACGACGGGCTCGCCAGACTAGACAACGCGGACAGGCCTCCGGGGCTACTCAAGGACTCGTCATCCTCGGGAGTACCTGCTTCACCTACGCTGCCCAGATTGTCCTCCGAATGATCGTCCTCACCTTCACCGTCGGCTTCGCCGTCGCCGTCTCCTCCCTCCCCCATGTATCTGATACATTTCTTCTTACGTCTGCAAACAAGGACGGGAGTCGATTAGCGTACGCTCGCTCGGCTGCGTATATTCGCGGATCCGATATAGTAATAATAGTGGTGGTGGTGGTGGTGGTGGTGGTGGTGGTGGTGGTGGTGTGGTGTGTATGTATGTATGTATGTGTATGTGTGTGATTACGGCATTTCCATCTGTGAGCGTTGGCCGCGGTTCGTCTCGACCTCCCGATCCGGGACCGGAATTAGGAACACTCAGTTTGCTCGTGTTTCGTCTTTCGTTGTTTGTCTTTCACGAAGTAGAGGTTAGCGGAAGCCGGTTTGTCAACGGCTTCCACTGCGAGACAATTTGACCGCTCGGTTGTGTTACGACCGTTGAAACTTTATAAACCGACTGTCAAGTTCATGACTCCGAATCCGATAATTTTCCGCGTCTTGCTTGGAGTTCTCACCGATGGAAAGCGTCGTGTTCGTTGAAAGAATGTTACATCTAGAATTGTTACCAACTAAAAAAAAAAAAAATCATGCGATCACTCGTCATCATTGCAAAGTCAGACGCACAAACGTCCTCCGGCCGCGTTAATGGATTATAATCTTAGCGAGCGCTCTGATTGATCGCCAGAGCGTCGATCTGACGCGATCGATCATCATCCCGTGTGCGCCTGGCGTTGCTCCGATTGCTCGACACTGATCACTCGCTCGCAAATGCCATGCTCAGAGATCCTTAAACGTAACAAGCACAAGAAGTGTAAGAAATTGATACGTGAAAACGAAACAAAACTCAATCGCCAGGAAGGGCATCTATAGAACGAACGTCGATCATCTCGACGGATCTCGATCGGGGTGACTCGCGCGCGGGGTCTCGGGTCTCTTATTCTCCTTCCTTTCTTCTTGCTTTTCTCTTTCGTGCTTATTGGTCTAATCCCGCGGAACTTCCGTTCGCCGGCCGACGGAGGCAACGTTGCTCACGCAGCAAGTGGTGGCCGGTACGTGTTATGTGGAACTTGGAATTATCGCGGCCAATTCGGCAAAACGCGCCGAAGCGAAGCTTCTCAGAGCCCGTCCCGTTAAAAGTGGATGAGACAGCGAACAATGGTAGATTGCGGACGACGAAGAGGAAGAAGAGAGGCGGATTTGCTACTGCACAATTTTCAAAAGTGAGCCCGTCCGACCTCGTGAGAACTGCTTCGCAGTCGAGACACATATCTCTTTCTTTTTTTTTTCTTTCTTTTTTTCTTTTCTTTTTCTTTACCGCTCTGCCATTGGCTCTCATTATTTATCTCTGCAGCTAAAATCAGTTAGTTACGTCGGCCGTGCCGTGCCGTGAACGACGGAGAGGGTTGCTTATTAAACTCGCAGCCACACTCGGGTCTCAAAAGCGTTTTGCACAAAACTTACGGGAGTTAAGCTCACTGCTTTTCAGCGCGCGACAACGGACGGCGTTCGAGGTCTCACGCTGGATTGCAACGCGCATTCTGTATTCCTTCGTTAGAGAAACCGTCCGCAATTGCGAGGAATACGCAACTACGGTCGGGCTTGTCGCCAAAGTCTCGGAATTACATCCTCCAAGACTTTTAGACGAGCGTCGTTACTTCAATTTTGAAGGCTATGAAGGAATACTGATTGTTCTTTTAGTAAAAGAGGGAAAAAAAAAAAAAAAAAAACAATCGTCGTCCTTTGCAATCCAATTCGAGACTTTTGACCATTTCGAAATTGTGCTAAATTTCGATTTAAATTCCGCTCTACGCGGTCAGTCGGCGTAGTTTCTTTTTTTTTCTTTCTTTTGTCTTTCTCAAGGAAGAGTGCCTGAAGAATGGTTATATGCACTATACGTATGGAAGAAACATGTTATCATATAAAAATATTACAAAAGAAAGTCATTAGACATTAAAAATAAGAAAAAAAAAGTAGGAACACATCCGTACAATACAATCATCTGGTCTTAATCGTACGAACTGCCATGCCAAAAAATTAGGATATATAAAGATCTTCTATATATATCAAACGTTCCGGAATATCGGACCAAATAACTGTTACATGTATATGTATATATGTATATACATACATATATATATTACGTAGATATATGTATATGGTAAATATATTTATTACAGACCAGCCATGCTAAGGGCAACACTGAGTAAATTCCAACTAAACGAGAGGGTAAATAAATAACAATAATAAGCTGTAAAGAGCCACAACAATGAGAAACAATGCGAGCACCGGGCCGCCGCCGTGTCGCTCACTATGGCGCCAGCTCGTATCTACTTTCCCACGATATCGATCTAACGAATCACGACAGAGTTCTCCGTTCTCGGGCGGAAAGAGAGAGAGAGAGAGAGAAAGAGAAAAAAAAAAAAACAGAGAGACGGAAAAGAATAGGGAGAAGGAGGAGAAGAAGGAGAAGAAGAAGAAGAAAAAGAAGAGAGGAAAAAAAAGAAAAATTTTTCTCGGCATCCGGTTACCGCTAGGTGGGACGAAAGATTTCGACGATCCATCCATTTCGAGCAGCTGGCCGACCATAGCGAGGACCGACGGGGGCCCGTAGGTTTTAAGTCGGGACTGACCACTGTTTAAGAAGAAGTGTTGCAGTAGAAGGGAGGCGATAGGCTTGACTAGAGATTAACATAAGTGGGTTCTTGCTGAGGCGAGGAGGCATTGGAGGCAGTGTTGGTGTTTGGCGGGGCGGCGGCCGTCCCCACCGTCCCTCCACCGCCTCCAGCCCCGACCCCTGCCCCCGCGCTACTTCCCACACCGTGATGGATTATGCTCGCGTGGATGCCCATCCCCGCTCCATGCTCCACTGGGCTGCCAAAACCAACCACCAGCCATTAAAGGGGCGCTCTCGCTAAGATACATCATCGTCGACTTAATCCCACCTCAATCTCGCACCGTATCGTGTCGTCACCCACACGTACGCGTGTCATCATTTCCGTTGTATGTCGAGAGGGTAGTGGGGGTAGGGTGGGTGGTTGGGGCGGGAGGGGATTCGAAACGTGTCGCCAGCTTTTTCTCGCATTCGTTTCTCTGCCGCCTCTTCGCCCTTCGGGAAATCGCGAGAGAGCGGGGTCGGCGATCCGCGAACTCGACTTGCCGAATCTTCACGATCGTTTCTTCACTCGTCTCTTTTCTCCCCCCGTCCTCTCCCCCGATTGCATCGATGTACATTCGCGATGGAAACAATGTCCGAACGCGGCGGTGAATTTTGAGCGACGAAAAGTGGAATACATACACGCGCACGCACACACATACACACACACACGCACGCACACACGCACACACACACGCACATACACACACACACACACACACACACACACACACACACCCGCACGCACACGCCGATACTCGGCGAAACAACCCCCGCGACGTGCGTAACGTTGGTTGCCGGCCCCGCTGGAACAAACTTGATGGATCTCGAGTGAGTGGAACGAAGAAAGACGGGCGGAAGGTGACTAGTGACGGCGACTGTCGCATCGATCAGAAAATATGTCTCCCAAATCCTCCGCACTGACGCGACGCCTTGGAATTTGTCTACTCGGGGCGCCTGGTAGCGCCTGGTATCGCCCTGCGATCTATCATTGTCGCGCGTTTCTCCTCCAATAAAAGCATGTATACACATGTACGTATACACAAATGTATATATATACGCATGTATATGCATCTCCTGGGTGTCTTCTCTCCGTCCGCTCGCTCGCGCGCGCGCGCGCGCGCGCGGCAATAACGAATCGACGGTCCAGTCGAGGGCACAACGACGATTCATACAGGCCGTAAAGTAAATTACGTGCATTCGATGCAGAGTGCAGTCAGCTAAGACCAAATGCAACAAACTAGGTGCGCTTTTGGCGAATTTCAACGACGATCTCAGCTGAATGTCAGCGAATTCGGCAGGGGAGAGCCTCCGACAAAATTCGGCAAGACTAACATAAGCCAGAGAGAAAGATAGATAAAGAGAGAGAGAGAGAGAGAGAAGGGGAGGAGAGAGAGAGAGAGAGAGAGAGAGAGAGAGAGAGAGAGAGAGAGAGAGAAAGAGAGAGACAATCGCACAGTAATTACCAATCGCTCAAATGTATACACGACACGAACTTGACACGCTTCTAGTTCATTCCCATGCACGCGGCGCGCACTTGAATTCACCCTGCCGTCGTCTCACGTCGTCGTTGCTACGACTGCAACGACTCGGCTCGCGCGCCGTTTTGTCTAGTTGGCGTCTACGTTCTCGTCCGCGCGACCGATCTCGACGGCGAGTCGTGGACGAGCAGCGGAGGAGACTCGCGCGAGGGACTATCTCTTTTTCTTTTCTCTCATCGTCAATCAACCGTCGATGGGATTCGTCCTCGCCCCTTTAATGAGGTCCATGAGATTCACAAACCCAGCCGGGAGTTGGGGCATTTGGGCGTACTGCGCCGTGACAACGGCCACAGTGAGTAATAGTAGTAGTAGTAGTCGGCGCTAAACGGGCGGCACGTGACACCGCGACAAACTACGAGAGATAGAGATAGAAGGGAAGAGAGAAGGAGAGAGAGAGAGAGAGAGAGAGAAGAGAGAGGTAGAGAGAAAAAGAGAGACAGTGTGCTTCTAGATATATAACCGGTATTTACAACAAGCCAGGTACGACCAGACGCGCGCACTGCATCGCGCCCTTCGCGGCGTGGACGAGGGGTGGACCGCTCTCGTCCATCCCCCGCGACTTTTGGGCTTTCTCGTTGGATCTATCGTCTCGCCTCGTTTAGCCCTTTCGCTTTCACTTTTGGAAGACACATTTTCTGACGGTGTCGCGCGCGCAGAGTGTTTCGCTGCGCTCGCATTTCCCCTGCTTCTTTCCTCGTTCGCTCTTTGCGCTCTCGCGGATTCGGCAGGGGCTACTCCGTCGCCGCGACGACGCCTTCCCCGGTTGCGAGGCGAACCCGCCGCCGCATCGCGTTTCGCGTCGCATCGGCTCGCCGCGGTGTGCGCACGTGTTGTGTGTGTGTGTGTATGGTGTGGTATGTGTGTTTGTTTTCCCGTATATGTATGTGTGTACTTGGTGCATCAATTACACGCTACTCGGTGGCGCGTCGCTCTCTGTCAAGTTCCACGGTAACATGTGGATGACGGAACGCGGGTCTGGGTACGAGACCGATGCGAGAGACAGCGAACGTCGAGGATGCGAGAATCTCGCCACCGGTGCGACGAACGCGCGAGCGCGACCCTGAGGAGAGTCGCGACAGCGCGCGCGGTCATCAGATTCGTTCGCGAGATCTCTCGGCCGACATTCGTCGCCGTCCGCCGTCGGAAGTAGCAGGGTACTACGCTTCGTCTTCGCGAGTCGCGGTTGCTTGCGTAACTTGTCAGAGAAGCTTGTCGCACCCTCTACTTGGCCATCGCGCGGCGGACCCGACGGGGATTTCCGAAACGTCTGTGGTGTCGACGAACGTGACGCCTCGTTTCTGGCCGAGCCCACGGGACTCTCTCGGAGTTCTCTCAGAGACTCGGCGAGTATTTACACCACGCGAGTCGCGGAAGTGGCGCTCGCGCGTATTCGGCGCGGGCGGTAACGGGTATTTACTCTTTTTCGTTAAAAGCACAAGGTGTATCGAGAGTGGCTTTGCACGCGGCACACGTACCTGCAGGGTTTGCACCATTGGTTTTGCTGGTCTAATCCGTACCTGGCGCGGCACTTCTTCATGTTGTTACCTAGAAAAGGGAAAGGGCCAGCGGTTAGTATGAAATGTTCCTCGCGAGACCATCGGGAGGAAGGGGGAGGGGGTCATCGCCGCTACTCGACGTTAAGGTAGTACATTCTGTCAGAGGAATGACGTAGTTATTGACATTGACGTTCCACGGTTGTGTGAAGAAAGACGTGAGAAATCGACTCTCGAGCAATCTACGATCACGTAATAGTAGAGAGAGAGAGGGGGGAAAGAGAGGGGGGAAGAGAGATAGACAGAGACAGAGAAAAGAGAGAGAGAGAGAGAGAGAGAGAGAGAGAGAGAGAGGAAGAGAAAGATAAAAAGAAAGTAATACGGATGATATACGGTTACGTGTATTACTGATAAACCGTGCGGGATTGTCGTGTGAAACGATCGATTGCGAGAAACGTAAGGAAGAAAACAAGGAAAACGGAGTGAATCGGTGCTCGAGTTTGCTGCGTTTCGTATACTTATGCTTTCTGTGACTGCCAAATGAACTCAACGAATGTCAACTAAGTCATGCGTGTAACAGAACGGTGTTTAACCCTCTGAGATCCGGCCACACGAAGATGATATATCGAAGGCGCGTTTCGCTCTTCGTGGGGAGATTCCACGACCGAAGTGGTACGGAGGGCATTTTACTAACGGAAGAGTCATCGCGAAAGTGTCGCGTTTGTGCCAGCTGGAGGATGGAATTAGTTTATTACCGCGACCAAATGAATTTATCTCTCTCGGGCTCGGCCTCAAAGGGTTGTCGTCAAAGTACGTCGTAGGACCTTCGTGGAAGACGCTTTATCGATGTCAGATTTCGTGAATAGTGTCTACCTGCGCGAAAGATTGAATAGACAGAGTTGAGAAACAAATCGGACAAAACGCAACGTGTGACAATTGAGCGATCTTTTGCTCTCGCGCGATCCTAGCGGAGTGAGATCGATGGTCTTCGGAGAAGGCATCTACGTATGTACATCGACAGAGATACGAATCGTTTCATTTGAAGAGCGACGCGAGCCCGGTCGCGAGACGGTTTCGAAATTTTGACGGGACGCGGAGACGTAAAATCTCGTCAGATCTTATCCGGAAGCGCGCTTCACACATCACTTTCCAAGCGAGCGACTCGTATCTTTGTCAAGCGGATAAATGGCATGCGACGTGAACGTTGAAACGTCTTGAGAAACACGATCAAAGATCATCTACTCGTTGAAATGTACGTGACTTGTATCATAAAACGCAAGCTCCGATATATGTGTGTATATATATATACATATATATATATACATATATATATGTATATATACACACACACATATATCTAAAAATATAAAATATGGATGTGAACGCTCTTCGCGCGAGCGCCGTGAAACGAAAATTTCGTATGTGGGGGTCAAGAATAAACTGAGTGATTCGATTAGAGGTGACGATAGAACGAAAACAATAAAATTAGAATAAAAATTAAAGGGTTCAGGCAACATTGAAACGATCAAAGGAAAATAAACGTACGAATCGAGAGTCCAAGTATAGGATTAAGAGACAGAGAAAGAAAGAGAGAGAGAGAGAGAGAGAGAGAGAGAGAGAGAGAGAGAGAGAGAGAGAAAGAGAGAGAGAGAGAGAGAAAGAGAGAGATAAAATAGAGTGACAGAAGAGTGAGAGAAACGGAAGCTGGAAATATGAAGATTGACGGTAAAAAAAATGAGAGAGAAATATATATATATATATAAAACAAAATAAAATAAAGATAGATAGATAGATAGATAGATAGATAGAGAGAGAGAGAGAGAGAGAGAGAGAAAGAGAGAGAAATATATATAATACATATATATAGAAAAAGACTGAGAGAAAATTAAACGCTCAGGATTGTCTGATTGCGGAGTAGGTCCCTGTAAAAATGCAAGATGGCCAGCGTCCCCAAAGTTGTATACGTAATTAATAATAATATGCGTAGTGTCCTTGTCTCTGGTGTGCGTGTGTCGTGTCAGTGTGTCGAGAGTTTGTCCGATGTGTAATGCTGTGATACATAGGCACGCATACGTGCACGCCCGTTTACTCGCGACTCTGTGTGTAAAGAGAGACCATATATATATATATAAGAGTCACATATATGTATATATGAACGTATATGCGTGTGTGTGTGTGTGTGTGTATGTGTGTGTATAATAATAATAAGAATAATAATAAGAATAATAATATAATAGTCAATCATATATATAATATATATATATAATATATCGACCCAAAACCCCTAAGACGGGGGGGAAACATGCAACATAATGTAGTGTAGCAATAAGAATGTATAATAATATAATAGTATATGTAATAATGAGTAGGGGTGGAGGGGGCGGGGGGGCTCTCTTTTCATGAGACGGAGATTGTAAGAATGTGTGGAGTGAGGCATGTGGGTACCTCCAGGATCACTGTTTGTGTCTTGTTTGCGCTTCCTCTTCTTAGTTCGGTTGGTATTTGCGCGGGAAGACCAGTCAGGGTACAGCTGCATGTGCAACTGTCTCTCCCGTCGCGCCAACTCATAATACTTGGCCTGTTCCTCTCGCCCTAGCGCGTGCCACTACCGAGAGAGAACCAAACACTTTTTGTAATTGTGCATGAACCGTGTGGACTAAACAATATTTTTAATCAAGAAAAAAAAGATTCACTAATGCTACTGCCGCCACCCTAATTGCGTATATATGTTGCCTTTAAAAAAAGTCAGAGTTAGCTGCTCGCTCTATCTAGAAGAAACTCGTTTCTGCTCGTTCTTGTTTGATATTGCTTTGCTTTGCTCGTTATGTCTCTATCTTTGTCTTTTTTCTATACACATTGCCTCTTTTTTTTCTTTTCTCTTTATGTATATATATATATATGTGTTTATATATATCAGCTTTATTTTTTTGCAATCATTGCTTCTTAGCATTGCACAGTAGCACTGGGGTCCCTACTTTCCGTTTAAAGTGCTAGAAGAACAGCCTAGGTTGTCCCCTCCCCCTCGGTCGCACCGCTATTCGTTGTATGGTCGATGTTATAGCAACCTACAGCATACAGGGTGTCTGATAGAGAGGACACGGCCTCGTGCCTAGCGGGTGGTGGACGGTAGGTAGAGAGAATTTCTTTGTCTTTCCCTTCCCCCGTTTCTTCCTCATTTCGGGGCTACACGCGGCGAACAAGAGAGTGAAAGAGTAGTGTCGGCACGGTCATACACTGAAAAAAACATGGACTCCCCCTTTTGGGAATATCTTAAGCAGCGCTGCTGACACTCCCGCGACCGCTGAAAGATACGATCCTTAGGACGAGTGTCATTAACGTATGCTACAATATGTCGGCGAAATAATGCTAAGGCAGCAGCGAAGCGCGAGACTTTCCGCGCGCGGTCACGCGTCCGTCTGTGAAAGAAATGCGATCTCTCGCGTTTCTTAATCAAGCGTACAATCGAAAGACCAAGAATATCGCGACGGCGCGACGGTATCTTAATGACGGCTGGCTCAATTATACTTCGCCGCCGTGGAATTTTTCGATCCTCTCTGTACAAAGAAGCATACAAGATGTTCCCTCCAGTGTATTTCCGTACGCCACCTGCCCCGATTCCTCCACGAGTGTGAATCGTCGCGAGTCATCGACTGCGACATCGAGGCGGCGACAGGTCTGCCTCTGCCAGGGACTTCGCGACGAAGAGCGTCACTTCCCCGTGAGGGAGGCGCTCGTCTCACGGCGGAGGTACGCTGGTGGATATTAAATAGAAGGGCACCGGGAGGAGGAGAGGCGGGGGTGAAGACGGGAGAGATGAATTTCGAAAGAAGCGCGAGAGACACTGTCCTCTCGCGCAGTTCCTCGTTAGATTCTCGCTCGAGCCGTGCTCGAGAGCACGGGGCTCGTCTTGGGAGGTAAGCGATTGCGAGCAGATGTCGTCCCCGGCGAGAAAGGCGAAAGAACAGAAGAGAGAGAGAAAAAAAGAAAAGAGCGGGACAGGCCCTGGGCCTCTACCAGACATCCCGTACCTAAGGCTTCGGTTTTCACTCTCGCTCTCGTTTATCGCATCATCGGTCTCACGCGTTACCCGTCTCTTCTCATTTCTTTTTGTTCAACCGGAGAACGAATACCGCTTTAGGGAGTTTGGCCAGATAAAAAAAAAGAGAGAGATTGCGTTGCATGCCCGCGAGAGAGTCCGTTTGATTTGCTTTCAGTTTTTACTTTCATTTGACTTTCTTTGCTTTTGTACTTTTCTCTTTTTTTTTGTTTTTTGTTTTTTGTTGCTCTGCTGCGCCACATTCCACAATCCCCACAGACAATCCAATCCAATTCAGTTCGAAAAAAAAAAAAAAACAAAAAAAAATATACATATATGCATATATGTACATATGTAAAATATCCAAGAGATATATATGTCGGTAAATATATAGTCTGCACGTCGAAAAAGAGTGAATGCCAGAAAAACCATAACAAATGGAAAAAAACGCAAAAAAAAAATTCGTACGAAAAAAAAGAAACGCACAGAGACTTTGATCGTTTCAATCAACCAGTATATAGGTACTAGCAATTATTATAATGAATTATTAAGGGCCTGCTGTTCTAGCACTGGAAAGTGGTACCTCCGGTGGGATCTGCGGAGCGCTCTTTCTTCCTCTTCTTCTTCTTGCTGCCATATCCGTAGTTATCCCTGGCACTCCAGCCGGGGTATCGTTGCTGGTGCAGATGGCGCTCCTGCCTGGCTGCCTCATAATACCGCGCCTGCTCCTCCCGGCTTAGCGAGTGCCACTGCGTGTCATACCCCCAAAATTCAGATTCACAGATTCATAGCCTCGCTGTACTTATCCGTGCACCATGTCCCCCGTTCTTTCTCCCAACCCACCCTCCCTCTCCCTCTCTCTTTCGCTCGCTCGCTCGCTCATTCGTTCGTTCGTTCGTTCGTTCGTTCGTTCGTACGTTCGTTCGTTCGTTCGTTCGTTCGCTCGCTCGCTCGCTCTCGCCCTCTCTCTGATCTCTCGAATAACTTATTTACCGTAATCGCAACAAGCGGACATACGTCTTACGACTCGCCGTGCTCCGAGAGTAACCCAAACGAAAACCACCCTTCGGCCCTTCCCCGTCACTGCGTTTTTTTTTTCTATCAAGGCGAGTCTGAGATTTCCTTAGATCCCACCTACAATGCTCTATTCGTACTGAGACACTAGTAAGTAGTACGGTTAGTTAGCTCCAATTGGTAGCCCGACAAAGCGTATTCATAGACGCATGCAATAATCGTACATGTTTAGAATGAAAACTCGTTTGAAAGCGACGACGAGCCAACGTTTTCTCCCTTTCTCTCGTGCGCTTGAGCGGCACAAGGGCATCGAAACATCCCCGTTTCGTGCTCTAGCGTGATGTCCGGTATATAGAATACAATTTGGCACGAACGACACAGAAGCGACCCAATTTACTCGTCAAGAACAATGAATTCTGCAGCGACTCGTCGAGTCGGTCCTCAGGTTCACCGTGTCCCGACGTTGTCGCGTCATTTCACCTGCATTTCGCTGTTCAGACTGAGAAGACGCTGGCTCTCGCGCTCATAGCGTAGATATTCTTGCATCAGAGTGAACAAATGTACTGGTATCGTTAAGAGCAAGCAAGCAAATGGAGAAATCTCTCTGGACTGAACGTGGCTGACGCGCACGTTTCGCGAGCATGGTCAATCCCGTATCAAAGACTCGAATTTGCCAATGGACTCTGATGCAAGACGACCGACTTAAAGCCTCGGTTATAGCCAAGTGTAAGGTTTACTCACTCGTCTTCCCAATATTTGGTTGATTGCGGCACTCTCTTTTAAGGTACATTCTGCTACCACCTTCGCCCTCATCTCCTTCATGTACAGCATAAACGCGTTCAAAGGCTTTTTTATATGGGGTTTCTTTTTATCTGTCAAAACAGCGTCAAGGTATTATGAGCTCGACATCGACCCTCACGCGCGGAGAGTGTACTCGAGTAGCGAGTACAGCGATTATCCGTAATCCACATATCATGTAGCGGCTTGAGCCGCGCGCGAGAAACCGCATGTTCCTCCTCACCTTGATTGTTTTGCTGGCCCGTGTCCTGAGCTTTCGCGTTGTCCGTAGGCAACGACGTGGAGTTTTTCTGTTCTATCGTAGACCTGCAACACACATGGGGAATAGGCAGCGTAAGTCCTCGCGGTTTCGCTATTCGTTCTATCTCATCAGAGACTGTGTCGAGATGCGTGCGTATGCGTGCGAATATGCGTGTGCGTGTATGTACCGTTTGTTGAAGTAGGACTGTTTGGCTTCGGGGCTGAGGGATTCGGGTTTCGCGCAGGACAGGGGATAGGTCGGCGCGGAGTTCTGCGAGTTGCACAAGTGCTCGGCGGTGAGGTTCGGCGGGGTCGTCGTCGCCGCCGTCGTGGTCGTCGTCGTGCCGTCAAAGTACGCGCCGGGCGGCTGCGGCGGTAGTGTCAGCGGACTCCTCAGGAAGCTCTGCGGCAATGGCCAGTTCATCTGCTGCCACATGCGGTGTCGCGCCTCCACCATCGCCAACAGCTGCATGAAATTCTGCTGTTGCTGTTGGCTGACGGCGCCGCCGCCGCTACCGCCGCTACCACCACCACACCACCACCACCTCCACCACCACCACCACCACCACCACCACCACCACCACCACCACCGCCGCCGCCGCCGCCACTGCCGCCGTACGGGGGTGGCGTGATGCCGCGCGGCGCGGTCAAGCTCGACATCTGCATGAGACTGCTCATGTAGAGCGCGGTCAAGAGCTTGTGATCCGCGGTTGGTAAGCCCGACTCGGCGGACTTGACAGCGTCCTGGAGTATCGCCATGTTATCCTCGATCGTAGTCTCGACCGTCTCGGCCTTGTCCTCGTCGATCGACGCCACGATCCTCTCCCCGATCACCGTCGGTCCGCTGTCAGTGTCGTCCTTCTTGATCACCAAGTTCAGCGGCTCCAGGCACTCGGGCTCCATCGCCATATGGGGCTGCTCGTGTTTACTCGCGGGCGCCCGCCGCCTTATACCCAGCGATCAAGCGATCCGGACCGATCCATGGAACGATCGATCCGAGGGTCGTCGTGATCCTCTCGCCACGCGCGCGCGCGCGCGCGCACGCAACACAAACACACAGGAGGACGCACACACACACATACACATACGCACACACACACACACACACACACACACTCGTCGTCGATCTCACGCGGATTGTTCGGAGGATCCCCCTCGCGCTCGTGTGGTCTCGTGGCCGACGAGGCCGAGGAGAAAAAAAAACTGCACGTCGTCGCGATCGCAGGTCGACACTAGTATCCGGACCACCGAGTCCTCGGAACCCTCATCTCGCACACGTCTGTCCGCCGTCAGCACGTCATCGTGAGCGGTATCGTCAACACAAACTCGTCATCGTCGCGACATCGCGCTTCCGGCTGGGAAAGCTCGTACACGTACAGTCCGCGGCGGCACACGTACACGACGGTTTACACACTCCATTCACATCGGCTGTATAGTGCGCTATAGTGCGCGTTAAAGCGAACGAGCGGGACCCCATAAACCGGCGAGGGCGCGTTGTAAACAGCACGTACGCGTACGGTGGCGCACGAGCGCGAGAAGACGCACTTTACACGCCGATGGCCCGCGGCCTCCACCAGACGCTGGCGGCGGCGACTTCCTCGCGGCGCATCCGGATGCCTGGTCCGTGATGACGTACGACGCCGTCGCTGTCGTATCTGTCGCGCGTCCGCATCGACGTGCTTCCTAATGGCACCATCGCCACGTCGTCGATCACGCGTTCAACATTTTACACGGCCGCCCGCGCCCGCCGCCGCTTCGGCAGCGCCAGTCGTTGACGCGACGACTTCGTCGCCCGGCGATTCGTGCGGTGAAATGTCTCCAGGGGCGGCATCCCACGGTCACCCATTCGTCATATCTCTCTCTTCCGCTTTTCTCTCTCCCTCCCTCTCTCTCTCTCTCTCTCTCTCTCTCTCTCGCCCTCTCGCTCTCTCGG